GCTTCACCTTGGCTAGTGGAAAGCATACATATACGCCCAAGATTCTGCATCCCCGTCAGCGCAACCCTTCACCAGATCCACAGATCACCTGGGCTAACGAAGCATCAGCCCGTGAGAGGGAGAGGTTTTTCAAACACGTTGCAGCTGCCCGCAGAGGAAGCCACTAGTGCAATCAAGGCAATTACGGTCTTAAGTCTGCTGTCACTCCGTCAGTGTTAACTATTAGTAAAATGAGGAGGTTACCTTTCTTTCTTTTTAATATTTACTGCACTTGCTCTTAATCCCCATGCTGATGTCTTGGTCAACATCCGAACCGTACATTGAAAAATGGTATCTATTTTCTTGCAAGAACGATGAATTGACTGTTCGATTGCTCAGTGATCTGGGCACAGCGTATGAATTAAGACCAGTGTTGCTACACCCGAATCGGGTTGATTTGACTCCGATGGAGATTGCCGAGTATCTATATAGGATCTCATCAATGGTTTTGGTCAGCGGCGAGAAACGCCAACGTCTCCCAAAGATCGTCGTGAACGGTGTGGAGGACTATGGGACAGCATCAAGCCGAGATACTGGCAGACTGCTGCGATGCTGGGACGATGGACGTACTCATTCTTCCAAGTTGCTTCACGTTATGATCTTGCGTTTGAAAGCCCTATTTGGATATTGTGGCCAGCTGTGTTTGATGGTACGGTACGGTACGGGACAGATACGGGAGCCAGCAAATATTGTGGCCAGCTGTTTGTGGCCAGCTGTGTTTGATGGGACGGTACGGTACGCGACAGATACGGGATAGCGCCAGGCGTGACACAAACAAACAAACAAACAAATAAATACCAAATTAAAGCTGTGTGGACCCTGGCTAGCGCCAGACGTTACTGAAGTAACGTCTTCTGCATAGCTACGGGAATTAAATTGCATACATGGTGTATATTCGCCCTGTTCGAGATGTGGCTGAACAGCACCATATCGGATCACGAGATCAATGCGTATTCGAGCTCCCTGCCACAAAAGTACCTTGATCGTCTTCAAGTCCTCCAGAAAAATGGGGTTCGGGCAGTATTCGGCCAACCCCCGTGGTGCTCCGCTCGCGCTCTGCTAGAGCATGTGGAAGTGTTCCGTGTGGCAGAAGTATTCACCCAGAAGCTCGTATACCTGGTGTGGCGCTGTCGGTATGCCCTGGCAAGTCCAGAACTGCAAGCCCCGCTCACTCCCGCTGCACCTGGCCATACTCGGCTCCAATCGGCCATGGGCCTGTGTGTGCCAGTTTCCCGCTCTGCAGCAGGTCAGGGGCGCTTTGCTTGCAGGGGTGCAGTGCTATGGAATTCACTTCCTGGTAACCTCCGTGTCATTCATCACGCCCAGCAGTTCCGCACGCAGATCATTCCCTACACCATGTAACTGAGGAAAAGCAAAATTTCTGTTGATCCCCTCTACACACGATCTCTCTACGCTGAAACATTTCAAACTCTCATTCTCATTCTCCTCCTCGTTAGACATTAATATGTTATCCTTATTCTCCCTATGGCCGTAGCCATCATCACATTCGCTTTCATGTTATTGGGTTCTTGCCCGTTTCAAGTTGCGAATTCAAATAAATACAAACAAACAAACAAGACGTCTCCTTTGTCGCGAAGGGGAATCGCAGGGACCTCCTCGAACCCGTTGTAGAATGCTGGGAGGAGTTTCCTGCCGAGACTCGTTTCAGGGCATAGTGGAGGTCGCGGGCTGCAACGACTGAATAGTCGACACCGATTCGTACGCAGCTCTGGAGATGAAGAGGACGTAGCCAGCGTGCCGCGTCGGATCATCACTGCACACAAGAAGCTGAACGAAATGCGAGCGGAAGCAGCGACTGTTGGCGATGTGGAGTCAGTCGTCAGGTGACAATGACACGAGCGACGAAGACTGAATAAACTCAATCTCATTCGTCTGAGGTGCTTTTTTTTCTTTGTACTTGAGTACATAGCTTGCAAACAGGTTAGACAATGCCACAAGTGTTATAGGGCTTGAAAGTGATGACGTCAAAAACGGCTGTGAGTAAGACCGCTTGAAATGTGCTTGGATCCATACAAAAACTGGATCCAAATGGATCCAGTTTTTGAATTTTTGAAATTGTTGCGATGCTGTGACGTAGCACTTTCAAGCCCTAATCCAAGTCAAACGGAACAATTCCAGAGCTGTGTGCAGCCTTCCAAAAAAAGTCACGAAGCTTTTGTATACGGAGGAAGTAGACACAGCACATGTGTACATACTATCACCATCATCCAGCCAAATCAAGGCACATTGATACAGGCATCAAAAAGAGGGCCATCCTGTGGCCACAGCCTCCTGAATCATAATCCGGGCGGCAATTCTGCACCATCTTACCTCAGCGAGGACAGTTTGAGCTCCGGCTTACATGCACTGTTGTCCGGCTTGCTGACAGTTGGCCGCAGCTTGACGGCTTCAGTGACATACTGCGTGCAGCAGAGGACGGGAAACGCAGCGCAGTGTGCAACTCAAACCAGTCTCATCACCCCCCCCAAAAAAGTACATACCAGTATACATATTGCTGAGCTGCAGTACTATGATGAACGGACCACACATGGACATGTGATATGCAAACACAGGGGTTGTGTTTCGCTTTCATCCCATCCACCCATCCAGGAATCTCCCCTGCAAAATACCCATTTACTTTTGGAGAATCCTTCAAATAAAATATGAATGAATGAACGATTGATTTACTGGTGGATGCAGCACGGGTACTTGATGTAAATATCAGCAGCAGACAAACACCAATTACAGCATGCTACATGCACCGGCATCGCAAACAAGCGTCCACTCCACGCCCCGCTCACACCACAAGCAGAACAGCACACACGTGCGCGCACACATACCTGGTCAACAGTGTCAGCTGGTAATCTCTGCCGCAGCCACGTGAACGCCCTGAAATCCGGAAAACAGGACAGCAACCACAGGGTTTTTTAACTTTTTTCACTACGATGTCAACTGGACTCAACCCTGATCATTTATTGGTGCCTTTTTGAATTGCAAATGCATTTGCTAAAAGCCGTCTACTTCGTAACTTCAAGCAATAGAACTTGTACAGCCACAAGAAGGAATAATTTCGCTGTAAGCGTTTCATACTTGCCGACATCCTTTATTATATACTTGCGTTGATTCTGATTCTTTAATTTCGCTGATGATTAGGTCTTGTCCATGTATACCGTGACGCTGGGTAGCCAAAATGGCAACAACAGCAGCAATGACAGCAGCAGCAACAACAACAGCAGCAGCAGCAGCAGCAACAACAGCAGCAGCAATAACAGCAGCAGCAGCAGCAACAGCAAAAGCAAGAACAGCCACTCTACGTACCGCATTGGCTCCTCTTTCAACTTGGAGAGCCAGCTCTCATTCTGGCTCATGTACTGCAGAAGCGCACGCCCTACACACACACACACACACACACACACACACACACACACGCGCGCACGGACGGACGCATGCATGGACGCATATGCACACGCACGCACGCAAGACAGGAGACGGCAGGCACAGCAGAAGATCATTTTCTCCGGAATGAAAATTGTGACCTACTAAGTGATGAAACAAATTCATATTCTACGAACGAATATTCTATCGAAACTAGACCCAACGGAACGACCGAATATTCTTGATTCTATTACTTGTCAAGAAGACTTATGTGAGTTTCTGGATCATGCTGTGAACGCCGTAAGCAGGATCCATCCCAAGACAGGATTACAAAAACATCTACTAGTAGTAGTCCCCAGGGCCAGGGTTTCTGTTATTGGGAGGCTACACTGTATCTAAAGGCCAGCAGGTAATGCTAATAGCCGTGAAAAGAAAGCCCGCTGACCTCGTTCATACGTCCCATCCAGCTCCAATGCATCCAGCACGGCATCCAAGCAGCCTGAGGCGACGAAACAAGTCAGAACACAAATAGCAGAACTTCTACTCGTGAAGTAGAAACTACCACAAGGATAGGCTGGTAGCAATACCAGGACAAACAAAGATATAGGACAGACTATGATGCAGCAACTGAAACAATACGCCTTCAAGAACATTGCAACATATCACATCAAGAACTTGCAACAGAAACAGCCCCGGACTAAGACTAGCAAGAGGCAAGAAACACGCCAGGTGCAGCTCACAGCTACATGTACCGTTACATGCATTGGAAAACCAAGCACAAAAACAGCATGACAGGAGCTCTGGTATATGGGCCATCAGGAGTGCACACACTAACTAACAAACAAATGAACACACACACACACACACACACACACACACATACACATACACACGCACGCACACACGCACGCACGCACGCACGCACACACACACGCACACACACACACACACACACACACACACACACACACACACACACACACACACACACACTTGCATGTACGAGTGCGCGCGCGCTCGTACATTATTTTACACTTACTGTGGTAGTCCCCAATGGCAAAGAGAACGGAGCACAGGGAGTCAACACACGGCCAGTAGTCCGCATGCAAGGAAAGAGCCTGGACAACACATACACACACACACACACACACACACACACACACATACACACACACACACACACACACACATGTATACCAACGCGCATACACGGATACCAATACACTCGGGGAGAGTTGTGGAAGCTCATAACAGTGCTCGATACAAATAGGTGCAGAGCAATATACACAAACTTGAAAGAAGGAAACAAAGTGTTTCTGCTGTGACTCTAACGATTTTACCGATGTTGCGGTCTGATGATCGGTGAAACCGTGACACTCAGAGTCACAGCAGAAATGCTTTGTTTCCTTCTTTTTACGTCTGGATACCAGTGCATGTACATCATACGAACAACAGAGCACAGCCAGTTGTCATTCCCGTTCATATCCTTCCTGTGTGGAGATGTGTCCTGATTACGGAAGGCATCACAAGACTCGAACTGGGACTGACATTTAGATAGGACGGTACAAATGCGTCCTGAATCTTTTGAAGGTGTCCTTTGTTGAGAGGTGTCCTTTGTTGAGAGGTGTCCTTTACAGAGAGGTGTCCGCTATGGAAGGTTCTACTGTACATGTAGTTGGAGCATAACATCCACACCTGCCTTTTCCATCATCGTATTCCCACTGGATGATGCTTTGCACTTCAAGCCACTGTATGGCTTCATAAGGTTTTTCGGGACTTTCATCGGGACAAACCTATGCGAATGCCAATATTTTTTACACTCTCATGGGCATTTTTTCCCAAAATGGAACTGTGGTGAGGATGGGAAATGAAACAAAATCCCAAGAGAGAACATACTGATTATGCGAGTTTGTGGGAGAAGAGCTCAAGATTCACCTTGACTTCAACATTTTCACCAGACGTATTAGTCTGTGTTAAAGCTTTTCCCTTTTAATATTGTAAAATAAATAGATAGCACTTCAGAGATGATGAGTACAACAAGGCTTTTCAAAAGCACAGGAGAATATCACTGACCACTTCAAAGGCATGCCGTGCCAGTGCGAGTCGCTGCTGCGCGAGGGCGCTGCGACCCATGTGATACCAGAGGACAACATCGGAACCATCCACAGCGGCAGCCTGACAGCACAAGTATGAAAAACAAAACGACAAAAAAACAAGTCGCAGGTAAAAAAAACATGGCATGCAGAAACAGACACACAGAGAAAAAAGGCAGCAGTGTCAATATAGAATCCGGCAGGTGCCAAACAGTGGCAACAACTAGTTCAGCATGCAAGCCCCTGTACCTAGCGTTCGAGAACCTAGCTTTGACGAAGCATCCACACTCAGTAGGCGAAATCATTGCACATAACCTTGTACTTGTCCATCAATGATTCGATTATGTTAGCCTCAGTAAGACTAGGTATGTGCAACATGAACACTGCATGGCGTCTTCAGTTTACATCCAGGCATACAGGAATGATTCAACACAAGGACAATTGAGGAACTGAGCGTTGCTCCATATCATTGCATTGGTATGATCGCTACCTCTATTTGTACTAGAGGATACGCAATACACATACCGTGCGCGCGCGAATACAAGCCCCCCTTCGAATAGAGCCCGTCCCTCAGAGCTGCATTCGAAGTAATACAGCCCAGTCTCGAATAAAAGCCCGGGGCTCTAATCGAGCGCCCACAGTCCGTACGTTGTAGTGCAGTACATGAACCATTTACGGTATGCACGATCAACACAGTGTGCTTTGCGGATCACTAGATCCATATCGGAGGTACGGGATCGCTCTGGCCCTCTGGGGTCAACGTAGAGACATGCAAAAATGGGAACAAACTGCGCCAGAAACGGATGTGTGCAATCAAAGGGGAGCACACCGCGAGCTGCAGCACAGCCAGAAACGAGGTGTGAAAAATTGATGTTTGTATTGAAAAAATAAAGCCCCCTCTCGAATAGAGCCCCCTCTCAAATACAGCCCCCACTCTGGGTGTCTTCTGGAAAAATAGAGCCCCGGGGCTTCTATTAGCGCCTATACGGTATTACGTATGCCACTCACAGTTCTTCTATTTACGGGGTTTCTGTATGCACTTAACCCTTTCATGATCATGGGCATTTTGCCACTCAGCTAACTCCTATATAAGGTGGCGTTGACATCATTGCATATCCTCTATAGAGGAAAGTGCTTAAAAAAAGAGGACAGAGAAAGCGTTTTAACCCTTTATTGGCCGATTAAAATATAAACAAGCCCACGCAATCGCCAAACCTGTACTTAAATTGGACGTAACTTTAGTTTGCACTGGACGAATTCCACGATCTTGGGCATCCTGGGAAGGCCTTGGTGAGAGGAGCGCAATGAGCATACACTCGACTCCACGGGATGCACTGGCCCAGCGCTGCAAGCCAGGGAAGGCCCACCAGCGCTGGGCTCACGCTCGAGATCTATCTATATCCACCATTTCACTCCTGTTGCTCGTATCAAACTCAAACTTTTTCGTAGAGACTCCCGGGAACCTGCTTTTGAAGTTGAATCGGTGTAGCCTTGTCAACAGGTGACGTAAGCAGGGAAAATCCCGGTCGTTGACCCACGCGTCGCGCTCTGAGCGCGGGACTAACATTACGAGTGCTATAACTCAAGAACCGCTCTTTGTATCGCTTCGAAAATTGCTCGAGGCGACAGCTGAGAGTTTTCTCTTCGACCTACATATTTCGATCTCTCCGAAAGACTGAGATTTGACCAAGTTACGATAATTTCCAAATGCCTACCCCATCGAACATCGGTGTTCGATCAATGTATGGGCCGGCCAATAAAGGGTTAACTCTGAGTTTCACACACTAAGCGATCATCAGAAAACAGTAATCTTAGAGGAAAGTACTTACATCAACAAAATATGCCAGAGCCTCTTCCTGGCATCCACTGGCTATGGATATGGCGGCCAGGTTCTTCAGCGATAGGTACTTCAAACGAACACCAGTAGTGTTGTCACCATCATTCTGTAAGACACAAGAAAAGCAGGACGAGTTGTCGTCAAGCCTATTGTCACACCCTACTGCTCCCCTCACATGAAGTACAATGTGATAATATGTGTGAGTCAAAGACAGGCTGGTGCACGTAGAAGATGTGGCACTACTGGTAATGTATGTGTATTTGCACAGTGACTGCATTCATCAAAACACAAGCATGCTCTCTCTCTCTCTCTCGCTCTCTCTCTCTCTCTCTCTCTCTCTCTCTCTCTCTCTCTCTCTCTCTCTCTCTCTCTCTCTCTCTCTCCCCCCCCCCCACACACACACACACACCTTGTCACTCATGCATGCACACGTGATTATGCACACCACCGGTCCGCATACAAGGCCGAAGAAAGATGCCAAACACCAAATGACTTGAACATGCATGCACTATACATACATGTTCAACAACAATGCGCTTGCACGCTAAGTTAGGACCACGGCACTTACCTCCTCGTTCACCAGCGGCAACTCCAAGAGCTCACCATAGGAGATTTTAGCCTGCTCCAACTTGCCAGACTGCTGCAGAGCCAATGCGCTATTGTACTTCTGCAGGGCTGCCGACTCCTGTAGTACGAGAGGCAAGGCGACAGCACCAGTCCTTTCAGTCCACAACTACTTTGAAGTACAGTTAGACAACGATACCTAGATACAACTACAGTCCAGTTCAAAACTATAGACGCGCAGTGTTTTTGAAATATTTCAAATTTGGCTGGAACTTTTTGAGAATAGTTTTCGGAATATTGCTCAGGTCCGCTCCACAATTACTCTCATATAGTTTCTAAACGATTGGGTAACAGACGCCCAATTTGGAAAAAATTATGCAACAAAGGGATCACAGATTTTATGTGGTATAGATGCTGGCATAACGGTTTTTGCCTAGGTACGCGTCTATAGTTTTGAAATGGACTGTACAGTACTGTTGAGCGCCGAAGAACGACCAGGCTAGAATTTCATCAAGCACAGCATGCCAGTGGTATACTACACGGTGACTCAACTGCGCATAGACCGTAATAAATGAAAATAAGAACGGTCTAGGCCAGGAGGCTGACCCTCCAGTTCTTCGGCGGCCGACAGCACTGTACAGTGAAACCTGTCCAAGCCGACCGCTCCGGGGACATTACGAATGTTGTACCCGTGCACAGGTGGCCTCCTTCACCAGTGCCATCTGACTGGAAACAACATCCCTTGGTCCAAATACCCCCCCCCCCCCCTTCCCAATCTGTACTCTCTTGTACCATCATCCTTCAATGCGACGGACCCCAAGATAGGCGGTCAGCCTTTGGGTCATCCTAATAAAGTTATTATTATTCATAATTGAAGTGGTCTTGTTGGACAGGTGGTCGCCTAATCAGAGTGGTCCCCTTGACAGGTTTCACTGTGCTATGCTCACACCGACTCGCACCAACTATACAGCAACAAGCTGATAGCACAACAAGCTGATAGCACAACAAGCTGATAGCACAACAAGCTGATAGCACAACAAACTGCTTCCTCATGACTTCAATACTGACTCAAACTGCTGCTCATATGGCGCTCTTCCGGACAGGTAAGTCTCAATGTTAAATATGAAGTAGAAAGATGCATGTGTTGAAATGCAATGAGCTGTGTTACACATATCAATGGAATGTGATAACCCCGCACTAAACGCCACGTGAAAATTCGACACGAAATCCCACACGATGTCCCACACTAAGCCCCACACAAAACCTCATACTAAATCTCAAGCTAAACCTCATGCTAAACCCACACTAAACCTCGCACTAAACCCCACACTAACGTCCACACTTGATGTGAAATCCCGCATTACCCCCCCCCCCCCCCCCCCCGAAACCCTACACTTGAGCTGAAAAGTGCACCAGGGATGGGGCTTGAAAGTGAGGACGTCAAAAACGGCCAGGGAGTAGTAAGTTCACATCAGATTTCTATTTCGGATCCACTAAGGTGTGACTTTGCTATTGCCTCAGTGTGTGGCTGCATAGCAACCCACGCATGTCGTATGCAGGTGTGACTTTCTCTTCGCCATCAGTTGTCATCCCACCCCCATTAGCCAACCCAACCAAGTTCACCAACTAGATGACCTTGCTGTGAGTAAAACCGCTTGAAATGTGCTTGGATCCATATAAAAACTGGATCCAAGTGGATCCAGTTTTTGAATTTTGAAATTGTTGCTATGCTGTGACGTAGCACTTTCAAGCCCTATTGTTCTACCTGGCACAGAATATGAGCATACCTAACACACACCGCAAGTCTACAGAATGATAGCCAAAGAGCAAGTGCACGTTCAGGGTGAAATGGTACTGGCAGTGACTTTAATAGGTGTGTGTGTGTGTGTGTGTGTGTGTGTGTGTGTGTGTGTGTGTGTGTGTGTGTGTGTGTGTGTGTGTGTGCGTGCGTGTGTGTGTGTGTGTGTGTGTGTGGCCGAAAATCCCAGGGGTGCGCACCATATTACCGATACGGAAATGCATTGCACCAAGCGCACAGTATGTACCTTGACTGGTCCCAATGCAGGCGTGCATTATACACAGGCAAATACATGTACGGTGACCAGTTTGTCTTCGCTATGCTGGCCAGTGCTGGGTATAACTGAATAAATCATTTTGTGTGCACGCGTATCTTTTACTAAGCTTTACAGACCAGACTACACTGAGACAAGATTTTTATCATCTTACATCATCAAATCACGGCCCAGCCTGAATAAAATCAATGAGGGGAATTTACCTGAGCTTCTTTAGTGCGAGAAATCTGGCCACCGCCCTCTCGAGGAGATAGGGCCTCTCTTGAGTGGCTTTGGTTGAGAGCTGAAAATCGAATCTATGAAAATGCAAACAAGAAATTTAGAAAAGAAAAGGACATATGGATACGAGTTAAGAGTAACTCTCCATCACTGTAACTGGATACTATATACAGTCAGAAAGTGCAATAACTAGGCACAAAACTGACAGAGTACTGAGACATTCAACGTCCTGACACCTAACTTCAACACATCTCCGTAGCGCTGGCTAACCATTTCATAAAATCTTGAACACTGCCCAGTGCACGAGCCAGGTACTAGGTACGTGATTCCCAGAACAATACTGCCCAAACAATATTGATGCTCCTTCCCCCAGGAGAATGGGATATCTCGATGAAACCACCTCTTGTCTACATACGGCCTACAGTTAGTTTCGTCCGAACCGAGTATTGAAAAGTGATAACCAGAAATCTATCGAGAGTCACGGTGTGTATGACTTATGTCTAAAGTAATGACTCTTGCTGACAATTACATGAATCAATCAAAATTAATAATTTTGGAAAGAATCAAAAAATTGAAATGCCTTGCGCGTCTTGCACGCATTTTGCTCGTGCCACGCACCCCACTAGTCACGGCTGTTTTTTTGTGCGATTTCACGCCACTTAACAATATGGCCGCCGAAAGTCTCGATTGGGCTTCAATGGCAAGAAAATTTGAATTTTCAAATCGTCAGAACACGAGCAGGCCATGGTTTCCAGTGGATTTTCGAGACTAGTCAGCCCGGACAGCCCGGGGAACACGCTGATCATCTGCGTCTTGTTTCAATCTTTCCGCTCGTACCTCACATGACTGCCTTTCCTTCAAGAAACATTTGTTCTGTGTCGTGCGACTTTGGCTTCGTTCTGGAATACTCCTTGTGTCGTCGCTGACAAACTCGGCTCTGAGAAGCCCTTCCCGATTTTTTCCCAGCTTAGATCGATTTTTTCCCAGGTAGAGGACTATCCTCTGGTTGTCTTCCCCAAGTGTCATTAGAATACGCGCGTGAACTTCTAAATACGCGCGACGAGTCAGGAGCCTGTGTTTCTCTTGAATTGGAAGACAAAATGGTGTGGCCCTTTAGTTGCTGTTGAGTGTAGAAGGCTGCTTCCTGCTGTAAATTGCTTAGTCGGCATGTGGGATATTGTAGAAGAAGACAGCAGCCGGCCAAGTGAGCTTGAAATTGTGATATCTACCCTATTGTGCGTTGAACGATTACGAAATGTCTAACTTGAATGTTGTACACGCGAGCACGCCAAGCAGAGGCTGACAATCACTGGCGAGATCAATCTCCAGACTGCCAGGAGTACTTCGAGCAAGTTTGAAGCGGAAAGACAGCTAACTGGGCAGGCCAGGACGCCTTTCCACCCTCTTTCTCTCTCAAATTGCCGAAAAGTCGAGTATCTCGCTCGAGCGCTTTCAAAACTTTTCTCTTGGTTTCGCCTCCCAAATCGTGGAACCACGCGAGGATCGACATGAGTTTCTTGCAAAAACGCAAACTCATCGCGTATTTGTACTATTCGCACAATGTTACATAAATCGCACCGAACGACGCCATATTGATAAGTGCCTGCACGTGAACAGCCGTGTAGTAGTGCACTGCATGCATGCATTGCATCATGACATGAGTCACGATCACGATCACTGCAATACTATGCATAGAGATATCGATCGTGTACAGCGATCACACTGATCAGTGATCACAGAGTCGCAAAATAGCAGTGCAGTATCTAAAAAAATACTATTTTTTATAGGCTGCCTAAGCCCAAGGATTGGAATAAACCAGGTTACCTACCTGTGCAACTCCAGATGATACCGGTAATACCAAGAGTACATAAAGGTTTATGTACTCTTGGTAATACAGCAAAGCAAGCCAAGAGCAAATCAGGTCACACAGTCAGTGTGGGTCCAACCTATTTACCCTATCTGTTTCGGATATTTGCCGCGGTTGGCTATCACCCTTCATTTCACATTCATTTGTCAGTCGTTTGACGAGCCAGGAAATGTTGAATAAATACAAAATACAAATCTTCTTCCCATGCAACCTATAAATCACAGGCGAATGCCGGTCATATCAGGCACACCAGCGGAACAGTCTTTTTCCTCACTACACATCGCCATTCACCAGCAACAAACGCGGCGCCTAACACTCAGAGACAACTATCGGCAATTCGTGGTGCCAGTATAAGCCTAATTATTATAACTACTTGACAAGTACATGCATGTTCCAACAATTGGTTTAAAAAAAAGCTTGACTAGTGTCACCTGGTCACTGTAGTAAAGTGTACATATTTACAAGAGGAAATATTTGATTCGTGACTCGCGGTTCGATAAAACACTTCAGGGATGCGAGAAAATAGCTCAAACTACTACATACACATGTATACAACAAAAACTAATACTCAAACAGAGCATGATGTCCACACTGTAAGCAGCGGACAGTAATGTGCAAGGAGTCAAAGAGAATAACGGTATTATATCATGGTAACCTGGGCAACCCACGGCGTGATAAATACTGCCATCCGGATATTATAAAGCATTTTGAGTAAGAGAGCGTCATAGGTTTGCAGGTTCGCGGCCAATGGCCAACAAGCTTAGCAGCATATACAAAGATAATAAGATACAGACTAAGAACAGCGTAAAATAATACAATGGTGCTAAACGCGAAGCGAGAGGGAAGCAAGAAAGAGCCAGCAATATCTTCAACTGTACACTATGTACAACACATAATCTGTAAGACGAGATTTAAAAAAACAAACAGCGTGTCTGTGGAGAACGACACTGCGAGTACACACTGCCTACACTGAGAACTTCTGCTCTTTCTGGTTTGAGAGCAGAATGACGGAGCGCTGGTTCACCCACACCAGGCTGAAGGTCTTCAGCTGAGCGAGAACTGGCAATGGTGGAGCGGGATTGGTCGGGAACGACTTGATGCAGCGCATGCCGGACGACAACATTCCAAACAAGCTTCCTGTCATCTGCAAAAAAGAAAAACACAATAAAAAAAACATACATATGCATCGATCATCATTGGTACCGAAACAACAAACAAAATTGGGAAAAGCCAAAAAGCATACTAAAAGACGCCAGCACTCCTGAATCAACAATCTCTCTCTCCCTTCTCTGTCTGTCTGTCAGTCTGTCAGTTTTGTCAGTCAGTCAGTATGCCTGTCTGTCTGTCTGCAATTTAATAATTATGTCTATAATGGCCAGGTGAACTAAAATTCTCAGGCTACGAAAGAAAAAAACCCAAAGATGTCCAGCTTCGCCCAGATTTGAAATAGGAAAATAATAACAGGCCTACACTCGGACGTCTCTTATCCGGGCACCTTGGGACCGGGCACTGCCCGTATCTCAGATTTGCCCATATCTCAGGATAACTCATCTACCATGTATCATATCAATTTTTTGAAGAAGTTTATTTGGCACGTATTGCACATGTACATGTTTAACCCTTTATTGGCCGATTAAAATATAAACAAGCCCACACAATCGCCAAACCTGTACCGCATTTTCCGGAGTATAGTGCGCACCTTTGTATAACACGCACCCCCAATCTTCATTGAAGTACATGCCTTTCATCTTTGGAGCATAGTGCGCACCTGCGATTTAGGGCCTAAAATAGCACATCTAAAGTGCGCACTATACTCCGGAAAATACGGTACCTAAATTGGACGTAACTTTAGTTTACACGGGACAAATTCCACGATCTTGGGCATCCTGGAAAGGTCTTGGCGAGAGGAGCGCAATGAGCGTACACTCGCTCCACGGGATGCACTGGCCCAGCGCTGCAAGCCAGGGAAGGCCCACCAGCGCTGGGCTCACGCTCGAGATCTATCTCTATTCACCATTTCACTCCTGTTGCTCATATCAAACTCAACATCTTTCGTAGAGACTCCCGGGAACCTGCTTTTGAAGTTGAATTGCTGTAGCCTTGTCAACAGGTGACGTAACCAGGGAAAATCCCGGTCGTTGACCCACGCACCGCACTCTGAGCGTAAATTTCCCGGGACCAACATTACGAGTGATATAACTCAAGAACCGCTCTTTGTATCGCTTCGAAAATTGTTCGAGGCGACAGCTGAGAGTTTTCTCCTCGACCTACTTATTTCGATTTCTCCGAAAGACCAAGATTTGACCAAGTTACGATAATTTCAAAATGCCTACCCCATCGAACATTGGTCAATGTATGGGCCAGCCAATAAAGGGTTAATACAAAAAGAATCCATTGATAAAATGCGTGGATTTCACAGATTGGCAGTGACAAAGAAATAAGCACTTGCGCATACGAAAAAGTTCACCCCCCCCCCCCCACACACACACAAATTCAAAGCATTTTGCGATAGGAACTCAAGCTGAAGGTGCCCGGTAGAGAGACGTGCCTGTATCTGAGGCGTCCGGATAAGAGAGTTTGAGTGTATTTCAAAGAGACTGAAGACAACACAAGGTGCCCAAGTAGAACGCCACCAATACGTACCTGCCAGAAGCTGATCTTACTGTCGCCAAACGAGTATGTAACGAGAAGACGGCCATCCGGCGAGAATCCCAGCGCCGTCACCGGGCACGTGTGAGCCGTCACCACCTTGTAGCGCAGAGCGCACGTACACACGCACACATGCAGGATTGATACAAACCATCACCAAACAGCACAGCAGCACATCACATCAACAACTACTAGGTACATTTAGATGCCCTGCTGTGTACATGTACGTAGTACTGCGGCCTGGTCACTGAGGTGGTCCATCACTACACCCAGGCGGTCACCAGCGACTGCATAACAGGACTTCATGAACACGCTCAGCACATCATACCGGGTGCACAGCATTCCAGGGAGTCGTAAAATACCGGTATTTTATGACTCCCTGCATCATACTGGGCACACTGGACACGCATCATACCGGGTACACAGCATACCTGGGAGTCGTAAGATACCGGTATTTTACGACTCCCAGCATCAAACTGGGCACACTGGACATGCATCATGCTGGGCACACATCATGCCAGGGAGTCGTAAAATACCGGTATTTTACGACTCCCTGGATCATTCTGGGCACACAGCACACTGGACCCGCATCATACTTGGCACACAGCATACCTGACAGCGCGGTGAGCGCAGGTCATAAATGGCCATCTGGCCTGTACGAGCACCGACGGCCAGTCGCCGCGTGGTGGAGCAGAAGCTGACCATGTTGAACCTGTCAGAGATGTGACACATACACACACACACACACAAGCACGCAAGCACACGCACACACAAGCGCACATACACACACACACACACACACACACACACACACACACACACACACACACACACACACACACACACACAGTTGGTATTTTTGGATGGAGAACAAACACACAGCTGCATCATATCCACTTCAGCGAACATTGCTCCAATGAGTCAAATGATAGGCAATTGAAAACAGACATGAGACACCAGCCCTTTGCAGTACTGCACTGCAAGGACTGCACCCTGCCACAAACTGCATACAACGCGTATAAAATGGACTGTAGTACTGAACAGCAGAAACCTGTCAGCGTCTGTTCACTTTTGAAAAAGGCATAGTAAGCATTTGCTGCATCACTTGGAGATTAGGTCACAGAACTCACTTGCTGAGGCCTGGGAAGGACGCTGCCAGGCCATGCTGACGCAGCTTCTCATCGTCGATACAGTGCAGTGCAATGTCCACAACCTAAAGCACACACAGTACATGAATACACAGCACACACAGCACATGAATACACAGCATACACAGTACATGTATGCACAGCACACATAGCACATGAATACACAGTACCGTAAAGTACCGTTGATCCGCCCCCACGCCATGTCGCTTCCCAGCTGGGTTTTCGGCAGGGGGGCGGGAGTTAGATCAAGGCTGTCAAGTGCAGTACGATGTACAACAACGTAGAGGATCAGACTCAATGTGCTGGATTGTGCACATTTTGATCCTGGATTGGCAAGTATTGTGAACAGTGCATGCGTCGGTTCAACATCGTATTTCGTTGTATACGCCGAAGTCGCTTCACAAGGAGAAAATCGACAGGGGGCGGGAATTAGAGAGGGGGCGGATCAACGGTACTTTACGGTACATGTATACACAGCACACACAGCACATGAATACACAGCACACACAGCACATGAATACACAGCACACACAGCACATGAATACACAGCACACACAGCACATGAATACACAGCACACATCAAGCATTAGAAAGTCACAGGTACAAGTCAGGTACAAGTCAGGTACAAGTCGGGTACAAGTCTCCTGAATGGCAGGTGCCAAGTACAGTCGTAGCCAAAGAAATCCAACCCATGTGCCGAAAGCAGCGCCAAGGCTCATGCGGCCTCCAGGTTGGGTTTTGGAGCATGCATGATGTACTGTAAGACATGTATATATAACGAGGAAGCAAATCTAACGTTTTAACGGATGACATTTCTTCGTTATCTCTTAGCCTGTCAAACCCTATATATAGGGTTTTCAGCCGCGCGTTCTATCTTGAGCTCTCTTGAGAGCCCACTTGGCTGCTATGGCAACTAGACGCCTGGGCCTACATACGTAGAATGTACGTACGGTTCTCTTGCTGAAGACCGTGATCATTTTGTTGCTGTTTTCTTCGAGTACGGTTAGTTTTAGTGCAGCGCTGTCGTAACATTTTCTAGACCCTATATCTAGGGTTTGATTTTTCACGATGGAGGAAGAGCAACTTGAGTTAGTGGAGACGAACTCGGGCGATGAGAATGTTCCTGGCGACCTGGTGTCGACTCAGGATGATGATGTCGATGTTCCAGCAGCGTCGGATGCTCCTGAAGAAGAAGGCGAAGCATCAACAGCGGCTGTCGCAGCTGCCGCTCCCGCCATTGCCGTTTCTGCATCAGCTGATCCACACGTGGGTCGGAAGCAGCAAATGCGGCGACACTCGCGCACGTCGTAGGAGCGCTCCTGCTAACATCAATGGCAATGCAGTGAAAATATCAAAAAAAAAACCAAGTGAAACTGTGTGTATTGTGTGCCCAGTTGTGAGGACTGATCAAACCCTTTCTTTAGGGGTCCTAACCCTATATATAGGGTCTTTATGTGTAGCGTTATGTCAAACCCTATATATAGGGTTTCCTGGTGACAGGCTAAGAGATAATAAGATCCGTTGAGGCCGTACTGCTTCATATATGCTGTGTGTGGATATGGCAGAATACTGCAAGATCGTTAACATATCTTCTCGTTAACCTATGAATTTTGGACAATCGTTAAATTTGCGACTCGTTATAATAACATGTCTTACAGTAATTGAAATGGAAACGTGGCGCTACGTTTGACTCGCGAGTCGGATTTCTTTGGCCACGACTGTACATATCCAACTTTCCAAGTACTTCTAAGTATAAAACAGGGAATTTGTACGCTTGCTGTTTGTTACTTCAAACACGATGTAGACATTTCAAAGGCTTACTTCAGAGACTTCTCTCAGACTCCGATCAGAACACATATCAGCCAACCGCTTCCTAAAACACGATGCTGAGAATGGTACTACACGTGTGCTCGTGCGGGCCATACATTTCCCCCCAATATTATCCTACACAACTAAATGACTGCATCGCTATTAGACATAGCTGTGCAGCTGATCGATGACAGGAAAATCCACATAATTATGGTCTGATCAGATACGTGCAGTACAGTTTATCCACGTTGACAACAAAGTCACGGTTGCGTGAGACTCGGCTAGAGGCCGAGTTTTCCGAATCCGTAGGAACGCACGCCATCACCCTTCAAGGATCAAAGCGCAGATGCAGCTCCTAAAGCGGTGAGAGGTGAGTAGATCAGACCCACCAAAGTGGTCAAAGACCAGAAATCCCATTCGTTGCATCCACGTTGACAAGAAACGATGAAAGAATACAACTGGGTCCGAGTCCATAATCCGTTCTATTGTTTCCGTGGGGTTATTGCGCAGTGTGGTAGCCAGTCGTGTCTAACACTTACTTCTAGCAGCTGTAGGATCACATCCTCGGTCATCTTTTCCAGCAGCAGCTCCAGGATCTTGACGATCTTGTCGTGGCACTTGCGCAGGACGTCTCCCTCGACACCACCGCCGCTACCGCCGAGCGTCACACCACCACCGCTGCCGCCACCGGACGGACCGGGTAACGAGGGAGCGGTCGTGGACTGCTCGCGAGCGCTGGCCTCCAACGCAGTGGCACTGCGATGCTCGGCCAGCATCTGCACACACAGTGCACAGAGAAAGACAAAAAACATGAATGACCATCGCTTAGCAAGAACAATTGCTTCATGGCAGGCCCGAAAGATGAAAAGAAGACAAGCTGAGCATCTCAAAATATGCTCAAACGTAAGCAGATTGCAACTGACCTGAGCAACAGCGGAAGAGGCTGGACTGTACATCGCCACCTCCTTGGCTATGGTTGAGATGAACTCCGCGGGCCGACTCAACGCCAGAAGCGAGAGGGCATGGTGCGCGGCGCGTAGCGTGGCGCGCGTCTCCTGCGAGTTGCGTACAATGTTGACCGGCGGTCCACCATCTGCGGATGTCTGTACAGGAAAAATCGGGAAATCAGAGCGGCACACGGAGATGAGAGCAATCCAGTGAAGAACACTGACTGCAATGGAACACAGTTTGACAGACTGCTCTTGTAACACACTGTAGCGATCATGCAGGACCGCCGGAAGCTGTGCTAGATTGGCCCAGCAGCTAACATGGCCTTTCATGCCTTGTGTATATGGCGGGTACACATGCCCTCCTCGGTTGTACTTCAAAGTACTTAAAAAAAGAAGAAATACACACAATGTCATGTTGATGGCCAAAAGGTTGGTCCAGTGATAACCTGACCAACCGGACCCGTTTCGGCGGGCCTGCAATGTACGGCCCAATACTCAAACTCAAAAGACAAGCACACAATATCAAACGTGAGAAGGAGCAGGCACCTGTTCACGCAGCGATCACATTACAGCACAGCATGTAGCTGATGTTATAGTCAATCAAAAACAGAAAAAGTAGCACACAAGTGCATGCACTCGGATAAGGACCGATACAGCGCATGCATAACGCTACACCGTGACACTGAATAGCACTGGCTTAGGGTGTTAAGCCGCATCGCATTACTGGCAGACACCGCAACAGCACATGTATTTCATTATTACTACTTGTATAAGCATCTACATGTTGAAGTGTATCAGCAGGATGCTCACAGCACATGTACAGTGGTCAAAGCCACCAGTTCACTGAAACTCACAGTGAGGAAAGAAACCGTCAGACGGCAGCAGCACCGCTAACTTACCGCTCTTCGGTTCGACGTGCCGAACAGGCGAAGTAGAGAAAAGATCACGGCCGGTGTATCCACATAGGCCGCCCAGAGGTTGAACCCGCGACCCATTAAGTCCGCCGCTGTACGGCGCGTCGTCCCGTTCAGTGGGTATCGCGAGGTGGCCGGTGCCAGTAGCATGTACTCCAGTGCCTTGCCAGTCATCTGGATGACCTACACACGCAAACCATGTACATACACACACAGAAAATTATTAAGAAAAAAACTTACTAACATACACATACACACACACACACGCACACATTAACACACGGGTGTGTATGCACACACGTACACAACACCGTGAGCATCCAAACACGCCGGACTGCACCATCAGACAATCACCGCGGAAAGCACCGCCAGAAAACACAAAGGTGTGCATGCACTGCAAATAAGGATTACTGGCAATAGAGGTTCTGCATTTCGCGACAGAAGCCAAAATTAACTTTTTCGACTCGACTGCCTCTTTCCGTTCAACTTCCCCAAAGGTTCGGCTGCTCCGCAGACTCTCGAACCCAGGGCCAAAAATATATTCTGAAATTTGATATGCAACACCTCTTGAGTGATCGATGAACATGCCATTGGCATGGACGTCCGGATTCGATAGGCACTTGGATTTTTAAATCAAGTGAACAGTGAATGAATAGGGGCTGTACAGGATATGTGGCTAACTATGCACAGCAGCTAGAAGACAGAAAGACATGCCACACTTACATTAGATTCATAGTTCTCAAAGGACCGAGTCGAAAAAGAGGTTGCGCCCGACGACTTGCTGCTTGCCAGCATGCCCGGTCTCGAGCCACGTCTCGCCGCCAACGTCGTCGGGCCCCTGGCGGACCGGTTCGAGGTGACGTCGGCAGTGAACTCGGAGCAGACCAGTGCCAGCAGCACCATGGCCACGGCCTGCAGCCTCACGGCGTCCATGCCCTGCCGCACGCCCGTCATGGACGCGTCCGACATGCTGCCGCTGCCGCTCTTGCTCGTCACGTTGCCTTCGCTCGGCGTCGGTGTGAGGGGAGTGCTGGGTCCTGTGTTGCGTGCGCACACACAGGACACAGGATATGACAATGCCACAAGCAAATCACAGCAGCAATACATCAGGAATTTTACTGTTGAGTAACACCTGACGAGAAACACACTGCCGGGAACGTAACGTCTCGAATGTGCCCCATCAGATTGACAATCCCGCCCAGTGTTATGGGTTGCAGACCCCCGCCCCCGCCCCCACCCTACACACACACACACACACACACACACACACACACACACACACACACACACACACACACACACACACACGTGGACAGATGTGTACAGGAGAACTAGAGTAACTTACGACTATCGCTGCCGCTGCTCTGCGATCCGCTAGGTCTCAGCAGCACACCTGCAGATGCCTGGCTGTGCGGCAGGAACGGCAGCCAGTCGGCTATCAGCTTCTGGCGGCCGGAAGAGCCGATTCGGCGGAGCTCCGACTGCAGCAAAGACTGGGCTGCATCGCGCACCTGCAGTCCAGCACACAGCCGAAACAATCACAACCGTGTCAGCCCAACACACGGCCAAACAATCACAACCGTGTCAGCCCAACACACAGCCAAAACAATTACAGCCGTGTCATGATCAGCATTCCGGATAAAGGTACCACTCCAGTCAACCATTAACACTTGACCGACTCACCTCAATGCAACTGTCTTGCCAGCGCCTCGCCAGCGCCGTCATCAGCGGCGGCTTGTAGTTGGCACCGAGGTGATCGTGCAGCAAGACACAGTGCAGAGCTGCGACCTGGCTCCAGCCGGCTCTAATCACGGCCATGTGCGCGTTGCCGCGGTCCTCATCCTCACTGGCCTCGTCTTGATCGCTGCAAGGGAGAACAGGATGTCAGCCAGGCAGCCCAATAGTGCACAGGACGAAAACGGCAAGCTGCTGCACACAGTAACTATGGCAGAATCCGAATCTTTGAACGACATCAGACGCATGAACGAGCAGCATTGACATGGCGCTTCTCAAAAATTAGTTCCCACGAACTTTTGGTGAAAGCAGCGAGAACTTATTTCTGCTCTGCTTCAGATAACAAATAAACAACTGTAAGATCCTTGTGCAGACGCTAGTACACGGGTTTATTGGTACCGGTAGTTACATGGCATACTTGATCATTACATAGCCAGTTACACATCAGCACATCACACACAGAAGATGAGATCATGCGAACAAGCATGCACATGCAGACGGTTGTTGGCTCAACGCACCTCCCCCCCCCCCCCCCCCCCCCCCCCCATACAAACACACACTAGTCAATACCTGCTGGCATCCGGAGTGGTGACGGTTTGCTGCGTCAAAGTCATCAGGGTGTTGGAGATGGCGACGATGCAGAGAAGGTGCTGTGTGGACAGTGCCGAAGACACTTGCCAGTGAACAAGCGACGGCTTCAACAAGGGCACGACAGCGGGCAGCCTCTCTACCGGAGCATCTGGTGTTGTCGCTACGTCAGAGTCAACTGCAATAAACAGTAACGGCAATCCAGCACGGGTATAGTTGCAATAATGAACCGGCAAGGGTATAGTTGCAATAATGAACACAGAGAACACACACACACACACACACACACACACACACACACACACACACACACACACACACACACACAAACACGCACGCACTAACGCATGCACACACACTATACATATCTTTCTCAACGTACAAAACTGCACCAACATGAACAAAATACAGAGCGGGGCTCGTATCAGCAACAATACACCATATAGGCTGGTCAGAACACCCACATCAATCACAAACTGATTTCAAAGGCAAATTTAATATTAGAATGGTTCCAGTGTGTGAGTGTACCTGTTGTCCAACCGGCGGCGTTGGCAGGGCTAGCAACAGAGCGTTCGTGCCCAGCGCTCGCGTGGCTCGAGTAGCGATTGCGGAATGTCCAGCCCGGCAGGAGCAGTGCCAGGC